TGTTGAACCAAAGTTGGGCTGTGGATGTGGTCATGAGCCATTGGATCTGTGGTTTACACGTGTTTAGTCTATTTAATCAATCCAACTAACTAAAAGTACAAAACTCAGTTTAAAATTTAACTTTTCGAATTATTATATTGAGGTATTGATCGAAGTTGTAGATGTTAAATTTTAATATAAAAAATGTATTTAATATTTAATAAATTAAATAAACCAATTAAACATTTATATGACGATTAAAAGTCCATGAGCAATCTTTATTACGGCCAAAATAGCAAAATTAAAAGACCGTCATTCTTTCACTCTGACGGTCCATTTCTAGATTAGACAGTTTAGTAAATTGAAAATAAAATTCTACTATGTACGCGTTTATACTTTCCATTAAGAGGAGAGGACACATCACCCATGCACTGATGTGTGTGTGTTAACAGAATACTGTACCACTTTCATAATGATGTAATTAAATAATCATTGACCGAAGAAACGCATTAGTTGAAACTTACATGTTAATAACTTGGCAACAATCAATGATTGTCAAACATTATGTCTAAGTTAGAAGACTTGTTACTAATTAATTACAAAACCACACAATTAAATAAGAAGAACAATTTAAATTAGTTAGTTACTTAGTTTTATAACTTTGATTTATCTCAATGACATAATTAGTTGAATAACAAAACAAGGGATAATGGCTATCCACACCCGCCATGAAAGAGACACCATGCAACATGCGACTCAAGATTTGACCTTTTTCTATTTTTCTATTAATTTTGAAGACAACGACATTGTAATCACTTTCATGAAGTTTTATATATATCCGGAAACAAGAATTTGTATAATTCTTTATATGGTGTATTACATTAATCAGCATGTTTTGTCTCGTATAGTATAACCTTCAATATAAACGAGATCCTCTTCTAATTATATACTATTCAAAACAGATCACTTCGAATCTTGTCATTTCAAGACACACGCATACAATAATATGCCTTACGTGAAATGATAATGGATTACCAATTATAAATTATCATTATATTACACTCTTGAGGTTCAAAATTTCAACTCGTAAGTTCGTAACCTTTCTAGTTCAAAACCAATATTCGACAAACGTAAATGATCTATATTAGAACAAGATTCGAACTCAAACCTAATACCGTTACAACCATTTAAGTTTCTTATTACAACTCTTGATGTACATTTGATAATTTCCGCTAACCTAAAGTATTTCTTTTACAAGGATTCGGCGAATAACTGTTTTAAATAATGTGATTGGGATAATTGACGTATAAGTCTAGCCTAAACATTGGAAAAAATGGGAGCCAAATTTGAAGTTTTTTTGTCCTTTCACAGAAACTACAAATCTACTGGTTCGTGGTTAAGTTAGTTACGTAACGTACCATCATTTTCTTTAGATTGTTTGTCAGTTTTGTCAGAGTTTTGTAGATAAACATCGTAATTCATTCCTTATCGAATAGTATAAGATTGGTGTTTGATTATGACATCGAGAATTGAATATATATATATATATATATTCCCCCATTATTTATCTATATATAGACATGGACACTTGGGTCGTCCATTGATATAATATAATATATAAAAAAAGAGTAAGGGGGGACCCTCTTGTAACCACTAGGACGAGCACAATTGCGTGACGTGGCTAACTAATCTACTTGGTGGGATATTGAATGAAAGACAAATATCCGTATGAGTCTATGAGATAATAGTGAAGATCATCAGAATGCTTGAAAGGTTTAAAAGGCTTATTACTCACATAAACTTGGAGTTGGAGGTTTGGCTTTTGTGGGTCCCATGTTTAATCTTAATTGTATTTACCATCGTACAGATTTTAATTTTCATATAAATATGTTCTTTGTGCTAGTCATCACATCGTTGTTGAGAGTTATCTGATTAGTAACGTTGTACGATAGCAAAATTGTAGAAAAAAAAACTAAAATGTTGTTTGAACATATTTTGTAGATTTTGAAAATGTACGATTATTATTTAATTTTCATGAACACACCGGTGACGAGTTTCCATACCGCCATCTCAATTATCATAAACCAACAAAAGAGTCAACCAATTCATATTATTAATTTCATTTAGCTATGTGCATGAAAATTCTGACATGCATAATTCACATTATTAGTCTTACTATAATCGAATAGCAGGATGTAACTTAGTTTTCAAGCCACCCGTTTGTTAACAACTACAGAATTTATTTCTTTATTCTTTTAAATAACTCCAATTTTTGTTATAAGATACATAAAATATCAAATGACCGGTTTTAAATTAGAAAACAACGAGAAATAATTAGGTAGTACATCATAGTTAGAAAAAGTTTGAAATAGTCACTGAAACAAGAACAGAAACTGAAACCGGAACCAAAATCAAATCCAAACTCGAATATAAAATAGTGAAGCAGTTTATAAGAGGTTTTAGTCTTCTAGATATTATGTATCGAGGTATGGTATTTAGAGACGCATGTTTTTCTAGTTTCTACAGACCAAGTCCCGTGGAAGGTAGAGCTTTAACTACGTCATGAATGCTGCAAATTGAAACCAAAGATATGCTCATCGCATTACCACAATCGTACACTATGAAGAAAAGAAACATTTCAACATCGCTAATATATTAAAAGAGAAAACACTATAAAATAAACCTTTGTCTCATGTGTTATTAACAGAAATGCCATGCTGATGTGTCAACACCAGGTTCACTTTCAAGGTTAGTTTTAATTAAGACAAACATTACTAGACTAATTACATGTTATGCCATTCATATTTGGTTAGAGAATGAAATATATATGATTAATTTAGTCAGAAAAATAATTATTAATGAAAATTATTTTCTTTCAGTTTCCTTATTTGGTAATGACGAAAATTTATTTATTAGTCAATCAATCAGTAAAATATGGAAAGTTTTATTCAATTGTATTATATTAATTGTTTAAAAATTAATTTATTCATCTATCATTTTTGTTTAGCTTTACTTTCAAGAATAAATTATATCATCACATCAAAATATTTAAAAAAAGAAAATTAGTTTTTTTTACATATGCTATGGTTTGAATTTTTAAAAATGAAGCAAATCTCTAAAAATGTTAAATGTCCCACATGATTATATTTTGGGATAATAGTTCAAAAATCTATTATAAAATAGGATCCAAATAATGATCAACCATAATCACAAATAGGAAAGAAAAATTTACCATGTTTGGAAATCTTTAAAATTTCTTTTATTCGATTTAATTTGATTCTTTAATTGATTTAATTAAATTAAATAATTAAATCGTATTTTTAATATTTTGGTTTGATCAAAATTTTAAACGTAATAAATTCTAATAACTTATCATATAAGTTAAATTATTTTAGTTATTTAAAATTGATAAAAACATAAAATATATATGCCATTTTATATTTATCAAAATATAAAATTATTTTAAATGTATTAAAATTTAATATATATGTGGGTTCGGAAAGGGAGAAACTGTTGTTAAAGCAAATGTTAGATTACCACACTGTAAACGATGACAAAAATCAAACCAGGCTAAAAAAATATGCATCACTCAAAATTTCGTCTAATATAAATTGATATTTTTTTAATTGTCTAACACTCTATGTTCCTAAAATTGTATGTAAATAGACATCTTTTAATAAAATCAAATTGAGAAAATATCATCCCGTGCAAGGCGCGGGTCAAACTCTAGTATTAAAGTATATCCATACACAATGCCTTTTATTTGCTTACAAAGAAAAAGAAACTCCGTTTAATACTCTTCTAAAATTAATTTCGTTGAAAAATCTGATATTCCTTTCTCATAAAATATTAATCCTTCCATAAATAAATTTCGAAAGTAATGTTTTTTTAAAACAAATTTTCAAATAATCCCCCTCATATTATGGGTGAGCTACCTAGTCAATAACATGAACAGAATATTTTCTTTTAAAATAAGGAAGATGAGATATTAATCAAATCAAATCAGATAATAGTAATTTATGACGTTTCAAAGTCACCCGCACAAAGCAAAGAGATTAGACAGACTCAACAATAAATTCTATCTTTAATCCCTTCCCAGAATAGAGAAAAGATATGTACACTCCATTGAACCTATACATATACGGCCACCTTATATGTATCACCTTCTCTCTCTTTCTCCTTATATATATAACTCCAAAACAATCATTAACACAAACCCCAAAAACCTTTAACAGAATTTTCTTTCATTCAGTGGAATCTTCTTATTCGTCTGATAATCAAAAGATATGGGATTGAATTTTACAGATAAAGCCTGGATATTTCTGGCGATTCTTTGTTGTTCATCGTTGATTTGTTCAGTAAAAGCATCAGTATCTTATGATCGTAAAGCTGTGATCATCAATGGACAAAGAAGAATCCTTCTCTCTGGTTCCATTCACTATCCACGAAGCACCCCTGAGGCAATACTCTTTATTTTCATATATCAAACTATATCTTTTTCATTCAAATGTTTATTCCAAAGTATCTAAATGGTGAAAATTTCACTCTCAATGGATTTTTGAAACTTCTGATTAAAGATTCCTTCTTTCTCTCTGTTTTCCGAAATTGATTGCGCCGCACTTTCGCTCCCCGTCTCCGGCCAACAGCTCCATGGAAACGTCATCAGAGTAGGCTGCGAGGCTGAGCCCTTTGTGCTGACTTCCTTAATCTCAATGTACTGCAAATGCGGCTTGGTCGAGGATGCACGCAAGGTGTTCGACGAAAATCCTCAGTCAAGCCAGCTTCGTGTTTGCTACAACGCTTTGATCTCTGGCTACACAGCGAACTCGAAGGTATCCGATGCTGCGTCTATGTTTCGTAGAATGAAGGAGATGGGCGTAAATGTGGATTCGGTTACAATGCTCGGGTTTGTCCCGGTTTGCTCGGTTCCTGATTACCTCCGGCTCGGGAAGTCTCTTCACGGCCAATGCGTTAGAGAAGGAATAGATTCCGAGTTCTCTGTTTTGAATAGTTTCATCACAATGTACATGAAATGTGGGTCGGTCGAATCCGGTAGGAGATTGTTCGATGAAATGCCTGTGAAGGGTTTGATTACATGGAACGCTGTGATCTCTGGATATTCACAGAACGGATTAGCTCACGAAGTTTTGGAGCTTTACGAGAAGATGAAATCGTCTGGTGTTTATCCCGATCCGGTTACGTTGGTTAGCGTTTTGTCTTCTTGTGCTCATCTTGGAGCTCAGAGGATCGGTCAAGAAGTGGAGAAGATAGTAGAAGCCAACGGTTTTGTATCGAATGTGTTTGTGAGCAACGCGTTGATCAGCATGTATGCGAGATGCGGGAACTTGGCAAAGGCGCGTGGTGTTTTCGACGTCATCCCTGTGAAAAGCTTGGTGTCGTGGACGGCGATGATAGGCTGCTACGGGATGCATGGATTGGTGGAGACCGGGCTTGAGCTTTTCGATGATATGATTAGAAGCGGTGTGAGACCTGACGGGACGGTGTTTGTGATGGTTCTATCTGCGTGTAGCCATTCAGGGATGACAGATAAAGGTTTGGAGCTGTTTGATGCGATGAAGAGAGTGTATAAGCTTGAGCCTGGACCTGAACACTACTCTTGCGTTGTTGATCTATTGGGAAGAGCTGGTCGAGTAGGTGAAGCTATGGAGTTTATAGAATCAATGCCTGTTGAAGCGGATGGTGCTGTTTGGGGAGCTTTGTTGGGTGCGTGTAAAATCCATAGGAATGTGGGTGTTGCAGAGTTGGCTTTTAAAAAGGTGATTGAGTTTGAGCCTATGAATGTTGGCTACTATGTGTTGATGTCGAATATATATACGGACTCGAGGAATCAAGAAGGGATCTGGAGAGTGAGAGTGATGATGAGGGAGAGAGGATTCAGGAAAGAGCCTGGGTATAGTTATGTGGAACACGAGGGGAGAGTTCACTTGTTTTTGGCTGGCGATAGAAGTCATGAGCAAACAGAGGAAGTTTATAGGATGCTGGATGAGTTGGAGAGTTCTGTGATGGAGATTACGGGAGACACGGACTGTGATAGAGATGGTGGAGAGGTTTTGAGCAGTAGGCGTGAGCATAGCGAGAGGTTAGCAGTAGCGTTTGCGGTACTCAACAGTGTTCCAGGCACAGAGATTCTTGTGATAAAGAACTTGAGGGTTTGTGAAGACTGTCATGTGTTTATCAAGATGGTTAGCAAGATTGTAGATCGCAGGTTTGTTGTGAGAGATGCGTCGCGGTTCCACTATTTTAAAGACGGTGTCTGCTCGTGCAAGGATTACTGGTAATAAAGCTTTGATTATGTACATACAGAGGATTACAGAAATCTGAAGATTGAAAGGTTCACTGTCTAAAGAAGTTTGATATCGGAAATGAGTTCGTCTTCTACAAAAGGGATGGTTTTCCGAATAATCACCTTCATAGGAGCTCCTGCAAGAAGGAAAAAAGATGTGATGAAGAAACCATTAAATGAAATGGATTCTTTAGTGTCAAGAGTTATGTGTTCACCTCCAGTAGCTTGATCATTTTCAATACAGATTGCTGCATAATGAGAATCAGTCAAATCCAGAAGAGCAAACTTCCATTCTCTGTTGTATGTCTTTGTCTTCTCCAGTGAATCGGTAGTCGTTTCAGATGTCTAGAGAAAACAAAACAATCAAACATCGTAAATCTGTATCAGTACTGTCTGTTTATAGTTTATACATTATGCTGCAAATACTTTACACTGCAAAGGAAATTTTCAGAAATAAAAGAGTTTGATTAGAGTCTACAACAAACCTTGTAAAGATTGTAGCCTCCTTTTGTTCCAGATTTAGACTGGATTGTGAAGGTATTAAAAGGTGCAGCAGAGAAGCCTTTTCCTAATGCTTTCACATATGCCTCCTGGATATACAATCACCACAACAGATTTCAAATTTCTGAAAAGTAACAACAACATTCAGGCTCTAAGTACATATGTTTTTTTCATAGAAGACTACCTTAAGAGTCCATAACTTGATAAATTCCTTTCGCCGAAGTTCCAGGTCCGGTATAGTTGACAAAAACTTCACTTCATCAGTAGAGTAAAATCTTTCTGCTAATGCTAAAACATCGTGTTTGATCTTCCTTTCCTTGTCTTCCACATCGACTCCAACCTACATTCGTAATAAACTGTAAATTTTCAAACTAAAAAACAAGAAACCATTTGACTGATTTTGTATTTCCTTCAATAGAAAAACCTACTGGAACATGTAGTGTTACCCCACAGGCAATCAATGAATCTGTGTGGGAGATGTTGAAATGCAATGGTGGAATGTTACAGTTCTTATAATTCTGCCAATCTACCTCAGGCTTCCCATACATATTCTTCTTGAACATCAAGGACCTTGGATCGACCGCATTGTTAGTCTGGTCTAGTAATCAAACCATTACAATCAGTGAACAAAAATCTTTGGAAAGAGAACAAATGATTGAGAGTAAAGGAGAATTGTTATATACATCTTGCGATGGTGGTTCGAACCAAGGTGCGAGCAAGCAAAGCGTTCTTCTTGAGATCATCGCCTCGCATTTGAAGAACTTTATCAGTCTCCGGTGGCGATAGAAGCTGAGAGTAGTGTTTCAGAAGAGATGTGCTTTTCACTTCATCCGGTAGAATATACCATAGATGAGTCTCCCTAGATGAAATTGATGGAATACATCAAAATTCAAAACACAAAAAGTAAAAACGTACGCTATGAATCAGTGAGGTTAACTTTACATCCGAGATGGAAGTTGCAGAGGAACCAGTGAAGGCAATTCGAACGAGAAGCTTCGCTGCATTTGCGACATGAGACTGATTCTCATCAGCTCCAAAAGAGTCTTTATTCTAGAGGAATAAATCCTACAATTCGCAGCCGTACTGTTTATGGATAAACAAATTAGCAGAAATCTGGATCGATGTGTAGAATCTCAAGAAGTAGTAATCAACTGAATTTGAAATTGTTCAGATGAGAGACCTAAATCGACGGGAGCTCCGGGAAGACTTTCGGTTTAGCGAAATTAAACGGAGCCGTTACCGAACCAAATCGAATCCCAGTTTAATCCGAACGGTTTTGCCTATATTCCAATACCGTTATTTTAACAACTTTACCAGACAATGAATGAGCTAAAGGATTTTGTTTTTTTAACCGGGATAATCTCGGACCAAAATTCAGTTGGGTTTGGGCATTTATCACATGGTTCATTTGGGCTCTCATATGTTTGGGCACCTTTGTTTCTTTTAAATTAATGCTATTCGGACATGGATTTTAAATAATTTCTAAAAAATTTAAGATTTTGCTATAATTGGTTTATGAATTATGATAATCTTACTAAAATATATTGTTATTGGATTGATGATTTTTAAATTCCACACAAAATCCATTGTTATTCAAAAAGTTTTGTGTTTTAATGATTTCATAAATCATTTAAACAATTTAACACATTGAACAAGATTTTCAAAACACTTCATATAACTGATTCTCAAAATCCATTATAAAAAAAATATTTTGATTGATTTTCTGAATATACAAACTCTCTCCAATTCTAACATACTCTTTATTATAAATTTAACAATTCTATCAGCTTTTTAAAATTTGCAACTCTATCTAGGGGGTGGGGTGGTTTGGTTATTGGGTGATGAATTTACATATAGTTACAAAAATTTTAAAGTTGATAAAATTTTTAAATATATAAAGAGTTATTGTTAGATTTGCAGATAGTTTGTATATTTAGAAAATCTATCCAAATATTTTACTATCATGATTTTGAAAGTTTTGTTATATGAGTTCAGGCCTGTGTGAGTTCAACTGTTTAAAATTCATGTCCCAATACCAAAGATTTTAATGGATTCATGAAATCATTAACACACAATTTTTTTGAATAATATTGGATTTTGTATGGAATTTAAAATCATCAAACCAATAACAATGAATTTTAATAAGATTGTTGGAATTTATAAACCAATAACGACGTATTCTTAAAATTTTAAAAAATTTGAAATCCTTAGAAACAAAAATATTCAAATAAAATTCTTCAACCACTGTATCACATTAGACATTAGTCACAAAAATTTGGCCAGGTAATAGTACGAAAGGCCTAAACTTAGGTAATAGTACGAAAGAATATATCTTTAAATCGTGCTTTCACATGGTGTATTGATTACGTTACATTTTGGACAAAACCTATTGTGAGACATGCATACATGCATTATCGTACCATTAATGATATTTGTTTTTGTCAGAAAATTCTGAGTATTATAAACAAAGTCTTTTTTTTGTGTGTTAATTATTTTAGACAAAGTCTAGCGTTTACACGTACAATACAGTTAATTAAGGGTCTGACTGGTTTAACCGCTGCGGTTGCGGTTGCGGGAGTTTGCGGCTGCGGGAGTTTGCGGAAGCGGGAGTTTGCGATTAAAAGCTGTTTGTACGACTGGTATAGCAATTCATAGCGGTTGCGTTTGCGGGATATTTTTGACTGGTTAGCCAGCGGGTGCAAGAGCGGTTTAACCAAAAGTTACTAAAATAAAAATAATATATAATTATTCAAAACATTTATAACCATATTAATAATTTTTTTTTTGAAATATATTTTTTGATGAATTTTTAATTTGAAAACTACCCTTTTTTTTTGGTTTTGAAAAATACACTTTTTATATGTAAAATGATTATTCCTAATTTAATAAAAACGAAATTCAAATAAGAAATATAAAATATTAATATTTGATAATAATTTTGTATCATTTTAACATCCTAATTACCTGTTTAGTTTTTTTTTAAACAATTTAATAAAAATATAAGATTGTTTATATAAAGTTTAAATGGGGTGAGATTAAAGTTGTTTATGCAAAGTTTCAAAAATATTTAAATTTTTCAAAAGATAAACATTAAAAATGAAAGATATATTTCTCCACTTTTAAATTTTTAATAATTTATAAACTTTAAATATATGTAAAGTTTTAATTTATTTAAAGTTTCATTTGGTTTGAATGTGTATGAGGTTAAGTTGTTTATATAAAGATCCAAAATATTAAAATTTGTTTCAGTTTAACATATACTATATTTATTTGAAAAAAAACTTATTAGTTTATTATTTTTTTAAATTTTCGTTTATAATTTGTAATTATTTATTATTTTTTTGTTTAAATCACGTCAAAACATACTTTTTACATTTTAAAAGTGTATTTTTCAAAACAGAAAAAATTTAGGGTATTTTCGAAATTTTTAAACATAATTATGGTATTTTTCAAAAAAATATACCCTTATTCCAAATTTGGAGATATTATGTTTTTTTTTTTTTTTTTTCAAACCGCAACCGCCCGCAACCGCAAACGCTTGCGGAAAGGAGCTTTTGATTTTCAGCGATATAGAGCGGTACAGAGTGGTATAGAGCGGTTGAAAGCGGTTGTCGTGATTGTTATAAAACGCTAAGAACCGCTACGAACCGCAAACGCTGCGTTTGCGGGTGGTAGCGGGAGAACCAATCATCACCTAAGAAGGGATTTGATGTCGCTAATTCGAGTATTGTCACACGGTTTGTTCAAACGAGACTTCGTAAACACACAAAGTATTTGAAACTAGCAGAAGACGCTTAATCAGTGTCATAATCACGTATAAAAACAATAAGCTCACAGATTCAGGTAACGCGATGATATAAATACTGAATCAAAACTTTGGAAGAGGGCAAAATATTGATATTAGATGGATTACTAACCAAGGTGCGAGCAAGCAGAGCATTCTTCTTAAGTTCATCTAGCTAGTGGTGACAGAAGTTTGAGAGGAAAGTTTTAGAAGATATGTACTTTTCACTTAGATAGAGAGATGAACATGAAGTGGATAACTGATAACACAATATATGTCCATAAGCAACGAAACCAAACCATCAGAGCATAGAAGAAAACAAATGTACGTACGTGTGTAAAAGAAAGCTTCATCATTTATGCCTTATAAACCAAATCCCATATATCAGCCAATTTATATTTTTTTGTTCAAGCTGTTGAGTTGAGAGAAGTGGCGATGCATGCTTTAGGGCTCATCCCAGAGTTTATTCTGATTCACCAGCCTCATGAGAGGCATAGGGCAAGACATATTTTTTAGCAAATTATATTGTTCAAACGCGTTTAGTAAATATTAAATTGTAATTAGTATATTAGAGAAATATGTTGTTGGTATCATCAGATTTGAATTTGACTTTACCACACATAGTTTAAAAGTTTGATCCTGAACCTAAAAGAACTCTAAACCAAATCTCAGGAATTTTTTTGGTTGAAAACTATTTGTAGGAGTAGGTA